AATTTAAAGGCGGCCCTACCAAATTCTCTCAATAAATATGCACACCTGAAAATAAATAATTTTTGAGCCACCGGATTATTTATTATTAAGGGAGGGGGGGGGGGGACGTCGTTTATTATTAGGGGGAAGCGATTAGGTCCTTGGACCCTTAGGGAACCCTGTCTCTAGGGCAAAACGACATAGGGTTTAGACACGCGCATCGCACTGCAAGCACGGACTGAGGCTCAATGAAAGCCACCAACATTTCGCGGAACTCTACTGGTGTGAGGTTCCCCTTTCGTCTGCGAGTGGCTGGCCTTCTGAAGAGAAACCATTGCCTTGGATAAAGTGGCCTCGAGTTCGGAAGCGAAGCCACCTCCAGGAAGGTCTTTATGCTTGTTCCAGTAATCGTGAAGATAGACAGCTATCTCCTCCACGGTCTGGCAAGCATCCAGACTGTTTGGGACGTTAACCAGCTTGATGCTGGGTCCGTCCTGAGCACGACCTTTCTGATCTTTGCCACGTGCTCAGGGCACGTTGGTGAAGATCACCTCTTCCTGTTCTTCCTCTGCCATTTTGGCGGGTTTCGGTAAAAGCCGAAGCTAGGAATGGAGAGGAGGATTAGGAAAAGATGCTGTCAAGTTGACAGGGGGGACACCGAGAGTGTCTGTAGCCATTTTAGGGTTTAAGGGTAAACCCAAAATCCTACCACCCTAAACCCTAGCTACTATCAGATGGCAGTACGGGAATAACATCGGCGATTATGCAGGCTGCTACCCAGGACCCTAAGCCTTACACCTCTAAACCCCTGAACCCCTAAACCCTCACTAAACCTCTACAAAGCCCATAAACCTGGAAACCCTAAAGCCCTGAACCCTAAAACCCTAAACCCCTACCAAACCCTAAACACCTAAAACACAAAAATTCTAAACCTCCAAACCCTAAAACCCTCAACACCTAAAACCCTAAACACCGAAAACCCTAAACCCCCAAAAACCTGAACCCCTACCAAACCCCTAAATCCCTAGAAACCTTTCAGTGAGCCTCTGGGTCGCTGCGATCTGCTGGGTGACCGTAGGTTACCAGTTTTCGGCTGCAGCACATTGGAGTTTAGGGTTTAAGGAAGACAGCGAGGGAGGCTTCCAGAAATGTGGGGTGCGAGGTTGTGGAGTTTGGGTTCAGGGTCTTTGGGTGCCTTTGTGGGACGTTTAGGAGTCCGCCGACCTTGGGGGGCGTGTTGGATGGTTGCCGAAGGCGGAGAGGGTGAAAACCCTCTTCCTTTCTCCCTTACAGCCCCAAAACGCGGGGGGGGGGGGGGGGGGGGGGGGG